CCATATATGTGGGCCTGTCTGGGAATCGGTTTGTCAGTGGCACTTTCCGTGGTAGGAGCTGCTCTAGGCATTCACACTACAGGCACCAGCATTGTGGGTGGCGGTGTAAAAGCTCCACGTATCAAGACAAAGAATTTGATTTCGGTTATCTTCTGTGAAGCTGTAGCTATTTACGGCCTGATCACTGCCATCGTTTTGTCCGGTTTATTGGATTCGTTCACGATGGCAGCAGCATTAGAAAACCAAACTGTAATGAATAATAATTGGTTTGGAGGATATGTAATGTTTGGAGCCGGTCTAGCAGTAGGTCTAGTCAACTTGTTCTGTGGTATCGCTGTTGGCATTGTTGGTTCCGGTGCTGCGCTAGCTGATGCTGCTAATTCTGCATTATTCGTGAAAATTTTGATAGTGGAAATTTTCGGTTCAGCTATTGGTCTTTTTGGTCTGATTGTGGGTATCTACATGACATCCAAAGTGAAAATGGGCGACAAGAAAGATTAAATTAACACAAAAGAGGACGATAGAAGGTGATTTAAGCCATCAGTATCGCAGATGTAAGCACAACTTATCAACATACATATACACATTCATATTTATATACATTTGTCCAAATTAGTCTTCATGTTTTTATTTAACTGTCAACAAATTCCAGACAAAAACCACTGATGAGACCATTGGCACGCTCTTCTTTGTTTTAACATTATACTTAATTTAACCTCGTGCATAATGTACATACATATTTAAATTAAAAAACCTGCAAAACTAAGTGAATCATTATATATTGCCAACAATTCTCAAACTACCCAATTCATTCCACGTTAGACCAATCAAATTTTTATGAACAATTTTATTTTTATAATTTTGGTGTAACAGCGAAATTATAAGGTCAAACTTTTGAAGATCCTGATATTGAAATTCAAACGAAAATATTAAAAAAAAAATGAAATTAAGAAATTACAGTCAATGATCGACCATATATTCTCTCGTTGGTGGAAAACATTTCTACTGCATCATTAATCGACTTTTGACGGCGTAATACCGATCTGCGCAGCGACTTGAACTTCGACTTAGTTACAGTGTTATTTTTATGTCTTAGTTTATGTTTTCTAATCTAATTAAGCTAAGGTAAATTCGGCTGGTCAAGTCCGATTCAATCGAGTTTCTGAGTATTTGGTTGGTAACTTGCATACAATTCTCAGCATCAAAGAACATCTAAATCCATATATACATTTGGTTAATAATGTATGTGCAACATATACATATATGTACAGTAATATGCTTTCCATACTATGAAACTTGCTATGAATCGACCTCAGGCACGAACGATGTAATAAACAATCTATACATAGTGTGTGTTTCCTTTTTGTGAAGTATTTAGTATTCAATGTATAATTATTTATTAGTTTTAACTGCATATTTAGATTTATTGTATATACATATGAAAAATTAAATAACCAACTGTATAAAAAGGCATATGTTAATGTGTAAAGAAATTTTTCGAGTATTTCACAATAAAATTATGTTGTTCGTTCTCCTTAAAACAATTTTTTACTTTCCAAGCGGATAATTAATGGTCTTTCCTAGGGAGTTATTTATGCCTATTACGGTATCCGACGGATGCCATCCGCACGGATCTAATCCGATTCGCACTGTCATAACAAGCGAGTGAGAAGAATTAGATTCATGAGAATGCGATCCCTTGGAAACACACCTATTCCGGTCCGACCGATACCATTCGCACGAATCTAATCCTTCGCACTCGCTTATTCCGACTGTACGAATCTGATTAGATCCGTGCGGATGGCATCCGTCGGATACCGTAATAGGCATGATTTTCTCTGGGAAATAAAAGTAAAGTTTTTCACAATATCCATAAATGGTTTGCTCTAAATTAGAACAGCATACACGAAGATCTGTGGACGATGTTCGCTCCATTAAATAACTTTAGAAGTGATATATATATATGACATGTAGTTCTGATTAAAGAATTGAAGCATTTTTATCGGGAGACTCCTGTGACTATTATATCGCAACACTTTACAAAATAATGAACTACTTGGACTTTTATTAAAATATTTTTTTTTAGTTAATATTTGTTTTTTAATACATTGTATCAGTATCTGTTTTACATATTTACATAAATGTACATACATATGTATATGTATGTATGTATATCTTAAATTTCTTCAATTATAAAATTATTCCACGCGAGCTCTTCGTTGGACTCATTCAGCGGTGGCACATCTGTATATGTTAGATCACAAAAATTGTCTTCGGTAACTTTTGAAAGAAAATAACTATCTCCATCCAGGATACTACTATCAAGCATATACTTAACAGATTCATCTTCAGGCTCTCCTACAGTGGTTACGATAGTTTCCGCATTTGTCTCCTCTGTTACATGAACGTCTTCCGGTTGTAATACAGCATGTCGTTCCAAATGAACCTTGAACGCATAGCGTTTAATAAACGACTTCCCACATATAGTGCATTTATAACGCCTTTCTCCTGTATGTGTACGCTCATGATTTCTTAAGTCACATAATTGCGCGAAGCTACGATTGCAAGTAGTGCACTGATATGGTTTCTCACCAGTATGTGTTCGCATATGCAGTTGTAAAAGGAAGACACGTGAGAAGCGTTTTTGGCACAAGTTGCAAGAGTGTGGTTTCTCTCCAGTGTGAGTTCGTATGTGCGCGGTCAGATTGCTGGTTTCATAGAAAGTTTTATTACAAATTGAGCAAGCATAGTCCGGTTTTCTTGCGTGGCGTTTCAAATGCATTGAGCAAGCTGATTGGGTCTTAAATGCCTTGGGACATTGTGTACATTTGTACGGGCGTTCACCGGTATGAGTACGCAGATGCATATTAAGCGCGAATGTTGATTTCATATGTTTTCCGCAGAAATCACATTTTCG